AACTAAATGATGGAGTTTAAAGGATCAAGTATGACAAGGGTTAGATTGAGGGTGTGGATTATAAGTTTGATATTGAGGTTGTAAAATTTTAAATTTTTAGTGAAACGAGAAAGAGTCGTTATAAGTTATGTATCAGAATTTTGTTGGAGATTAATTGGATTTGTATAAGGAAATGGAGTAAGCTAGCACCTTTTATTATAAAGGGGTGATTATTCTTTGGACGAGTACGTAAGATTATATGAAAAGATTATGTGTGTCGTAATACAAACAAGGATTAAGGAATGATTAAAGGTTTCGTTTATGTTGCAAAGCAATTAGAGAATGATGAAAGAAATCAATTGATTCATGATATTGAGTAGCAAGGATTGGAGTTAATGTCTATATAATGAGTAACATTATATGGATTTATAAAGGTCGGATTTATATGAAGAATTGAGTGAGGTAAAAAGGTAAGTCTACAAGCGGTAAACAAGAAAGATTAAGTAAATGAAGCAACATAATAAGATTAGAAGATATGTGTAGTGAAAATTCGAGGACAAATTTTCTTAAAGGATGGGAGATTTGTAACATCCCAAAAACCAGGTTAGTGACCAAAATGAAAGTTTTGAAAACTTAGTGCTTAATTTTGAAAATTTTGAAAGTTTAAGGACTTAATTGGAATTATCTTTGTGTAAGGGCTAAATAGCAAAGTCCGGAAGTATAAAAGGCATTATGGTCTTTTCATAAGGAGGATTTTTTATCTTTTCTTTTTGGGTTATAAATATTCTCTTCCAGTGTCACCATGAATAACGTAAGTGGTCTCAAGTTAGTTATTTCTTTCATTTTAAAGTTTCTTTTGATTCTTAATGTGATAAGAAAGCTTAATGGAAGATTTAAGTGGCTTAAAACTCAAAGATGAACAAGTTATGAGAGATTAAGTCAAAGGAGTTTTTAAGTAAATTATTGAAAAAGAAGGAGTGGATGGATTTTGAAGTTGAATTTGACTTGTCATGAGTTGAAATAAGAAATTCAAAGTGTTAGAAATGAATATGGAATATGTTGATTAATTGGATTGATTATTGAATTCAAGTGTGTATATGGGATATTAAATATTAGGATGAATTAAAATGATCTAAGTTGATTAGAATAAGTGTAGTTAATCTTAAAGGGTTAAAAGGAGGTTCTAGTAGAAGATTTAAGTAAGTTTGGTAAATTTTCGGGTAAGACAAATAAATTTTGGGTAAGGGGTATCGGTATTTTTCATTCAGTACCGATACTTTAAAGAGAAAATTGAGTGATGATTGGGGTATGAGTATCGATACTAGTTGAATGAGTATCGATACCATAAGGTAAAAATTTATAAATTGTTCAAAGAGTATCGATACCAAAGGAGTAGTATCGATACTGGGGGTATCGATACCATTAAGCAAGTATCGATACCATTTTGAAATAAGGATTTCATAATCGAAAAAGGGTATCGATACCTAGGCTTAGTATCGATACCACAGCTAGGGAAGTATCAGTACCACACTTTGGGTACCGATACTACTCAAAGTGAAATGTGAATTAGATACTTGATTTAGTTTATATTATTGATGATTGGTTATAAGTGATTAGAATTAAGATATTCATATCGATTATATGTATCTTGTAGATATCGATCGAAGACAAGTCCAAGACGGTTCGAAGTTATAAGAGTGCACAAGAGTTATACGTATATGAATGGCTAGTGAGACTCAGGTGAGTATGTACTATTAGGTATATGAAGTTTTATCGAAATAAGACTTACAATGAGTCTATTTCTATATTAAAGTGTATGAATTCATGAATACAAGCATGTGTTTGTTATGAATTGTATATGTGCATGTGTATATGTGCTGACATGTTATTGTATGGGATGTATGATCGATGTGCTACTTGAGATATGTGAATATAAGAGAACAATATATAAACCATATGGTAATGAATTATGAGACTATATGAATATATGCCTATAAGATAAATTATATGATTATAAGCTAGGTAATCATGTGTAAAGGTTATATAAACAATAGGAACATGAGTTGGGACAAGTACATGGTTGTGTGATAAATTATGTTAACTAGTATAATAGAATAATATGATTAAATGAGAAGTACGATAAGATAAATAAGATTAACCTATAGGATGATATGATAATAGTATATCAACTAGGAGACTTGGACATAAGTGATGATATTAACATATAAGATAAGCTATATAGGGAATATTCATGTTCTTAAATAAAAATTATGACATATGGGTTATATGATAAAGATCTATGAAGTCATACGAGAAGGTTATAGGAACTATATGAAATTGAACTAAATAAATAGATTAAATTAGTATATAAGTGAAATGATAGAAGCGATAAATGTTTATAAGTTATGTCATAGGTTACGTGATCTATGTGAATTTAAGAGAATGAAGCATAAACTATATGATATGATATAAGTTATTATATACATATATGATATATGTTATTAAACATGACATATGCGATTCTATGAGAAATGATAGGAGATATATAAGTAAATATATATATATATGATAATTTAAGTGATCATCTTAGATTATATTCCTTTGTAAAAACATGAGGAAGTGAAATAAGTTCAATAATATTGATCTATATGATTAAGTGAAGAAGAATATAAACTATGTGAATACAAGTATATGTAATATAATATATATGACTATGAGCTAGAAGAATGTTATATGATCTATACAAGGATAAATTAGGAAACTACATATGAAACGAAATGAGTCATATGAGTACATGTATATGTGATGAAATGATTTATTATATGAACATGTGAATATATGTCTATGAGAAGACATAAGAACATGATATAAGCAATGTGATATGTGAATTATATGGAAATGTTCTACATGTAAGTGAACCACGTGCCTATATGAATATGTGAAATGACATAAATGATAATGCCCATGTTATGTGATATGAGAGCTAGGGGTATAGTTGACATGCCAAGAGTTGAGGGTTATATGTAGTCCTTCGAGATATATATGCTATATGTGGTCCTTCGGGACAAATTCATATGCTCTTAGTGGGACCTTATACGAGCTGTGGTGACAACATATTGTTATAGATTGGGAGAAAAAGAAGGATTTAAGAGAAGAATTTTGACGAAAGAGAGAGTTGATAGAGAAGAAAATTCATCATTTTTTTCATAAAGATTGTTTACACTCTGGTTTGTTAATTATTTAGTTACAATGCCAATACTTCCTTGCCAGCTGTCTAGACTATATAACTGAATGATTCCTCTCTTTCTTTTCTTTCTCAGGTATTGGGCCTTCGATATTGGGCTGCTCCTTCAGACTTCCTTACTGCTCGCCCTGATGCTTGCCCAGCTCTTCTGATAATGTAAGTAACCCCGTGCCTCTCACATGATTGAATTCCCAATTGTCGTCTTCAATCCCTAACCCTAGGTCTTCATTTCCCAAATCTCCTTCGATATTTCCTCTCCGTTCCTCTTCTTCTTCTCCAATCCTGACAATACCCACCCCTCGAGACGAGCCTTGTCCCCAAGGATAAAACGCTGGAAATTGTCCCTTCAGTGTCGAGTTGTCCTCCCAAGTATCGTTTTCAGCAGCGAGATTCTCCCAGCGAACCAAAAGTTGAGTAACAGGTTTACTGTTTCTGTTTACAATTCTTCTAGCCATAATTTTTAATGGTTTAATTTGTAACTCTCCTTCTTCATACACTGTAGGAGGTTCGGAAGAAACAATAGAAGAATCGCCTATGAATTTCTTCAGTAGTCTGACATGAAAAACCGGGTGCAATCGAGAGGAATCAGGTAAGTCCAGTCGATAAGCTACCGTTCCTATTTTTACATAACACGATAGGGTCCAAAAAATTTTGCTGCTAACTTTAAATTTTTTCGCAGGGCAATTGATGTTTGTCTGTAGGGTTACAATTTCAGGTAAACTAAATCCCCAATCTCAAAGGTTCTTTCAGTTCTATTTTTATCTTCTTGTTGCTTTATTCTATTGCTTGCTATCTGTAGCTGATTCTTTAGCAACTGCCTTGTAGCTTCTCTACTGTTCATCAATTCTGATATAGTTTGTATTGTAGACTCAGTAGGCCAAACCATAATAGGTGGTTTATACCCATATAATGCCTGAAAAGGTGTTAACTTTATAGCAGTATGATAAGTAGTATTGTACCACCATTCTGCATGTGGTAGCCACTTAGCCCATTATTTAGGTTGATAGAGGCAAAGGCCTCTCAAATACTGCTCTAGACATTGGTTGACTCTCTCTGTTTGACCATCTGTTTCTGGATGGTAAGCAGTACTGAAAAGTGTCTTTGTCCCAAGCTGTTTCATTAATTCTCTCCAAAAAACACTTGTGAAGGTCTTATCTCTGTCAGAAATGGCCATCTTAGGCTGGCCATGTAGCTTATACACATTATCTAGGTATAGCTTAGCCACCTCTGTTGCAGAATAAGGGTGAGCTAAAGACAAAAAATGATTGTACTTGGTAAATTTATCCACAATAACCAAAATACAATTTTTCTTAAATGAAGTAGGTAGACCTTCAATGAAATCCATAGTAATTATTTCCCAATCCTGATTAGGAACATGAAGGGACTGTAGCAAACCAGGCTTTGCTACATGATCAACATTAATCTGTTGGCATATTTCACAGCTTCTCACATAAGTAACAACCATAGCTTTAAGATTTGGCCAATAAAAATATGACCTAATCATATAATATGTAACTTGGGATCCTGAATGTCCTCCTTGAGGAGAGTCATGTAAGGTCTTAATAACCTTCAATCTAAGACTGCCATGATCTCCAATATAAACCCTATCACTTTATCTAAGGACATCCTTAGAATACTTTCATTTACTATTAGTTGTAGGATTAATAATAAGAGTTGAAATCCAGTATTGAGCAAAAGTATCACCCTGATAACTCTCTTCCACCTCTTGAACCCAAGTAGGTACTAAAACAGTAGCTCCCAAAACAAAGCATTGAGCCTAATCCTCCCATCTTCTAGATAAGGCATCAGCATCAGCAACAACATTCAACTTTCCTTTTCTGTACTGTATAGTATAATCCAATCCTAATAGCTTTGTCAACCCTTTCTTTTGAATAGTGGTAGTCAACTTCTGTTCTAAAAGAAATTTTAGAGGCTCATGATCAGTCTTAATAATAAAAGGTTTGCTCTCCAAATAATGTCTCCATTTTGAAACAGCCAAAAGAATAACAAGGTATTCTTTTTCATAGATAGATAATGATGAATTCTTAAGACTTAGAGCTTGACTCAAAGAAGCAATAGGTCTCCCTTCTTGTGCAAGAACAGCCCCTATACCTCTAGAACTAGCATCTGTTTCCAGATAAAAAGTTTTAGAAAAATCAGGTAAGGCCAAAACTGGAGCAGAACACATGGCTAATTTAAGATCTTCAAAAGTTGTATAAGCAGCAGCAGTCCACTGAAATCCATCTTTTTTCAACAACTGTGTCAAGGGTCTGCTAATAATACCATAATTCTTGATAAATCTCCTGTAATATCCAGTTAGGCCCAGAAATCCTCTTAAATATTTAAGAGTTTTAGGCTTAGGCCAATTCTGCATGGCCTCCACCTTGCTAGAGTCAGTAGATACTCTTGCAGCAGAAATAATATGGCCAAGATACTCCACTTGAGTTTGCCCAAAGAAACACTTGGATAAATAATCGATTCATCTTTAAAACTTCCAAAACCAGCTGTAAGTGTTTAATGTGATCTTGCATACTGCTGTTGTACACCAAGATATCATCAAACAAAACTAAAACAAATTTTCTAAGGAAAGAATTAAATAATTCATTCATAAGAGACTGAAATGTAGCAGGAGCATTAGTAAGACCAAAAGGCATTACCTTGAACTCATAATGGCCTTGATGAGTTCTAAAGGTTGTCTTGTAAATATCTTCAGGTTTAATTTTGATCTGCCAATACCCTGACCTCAAATCAATTTTTGAAAAGTATATTGCCCCATACAATTCATCCAGCAAATCTTCCACTATAGAAATAGGAAATTTATCTTTAATGGTCAAACTATTTAATTCTCTGTAATCCACACAAAATCTCCAAGTGTCATCCTTCTTTTTAATAAGAAGGCAGGGAGATGCAAATGGGCTCTTACTAGGCTGAATAATAGAAGAGGACAGTATAGTAGCTATCTGTTTTTCAACTTCAGCCTTTTGATTATAAGGAAATCTATAAGGCCTTAGATTCACAGGAGTAGCATTAGATTTGAGTGGAATAGCATGGTCATGAGATCTCTGAGGAGGTAGCCCTTTTGGTTCTGCAAAAACTGATATGTATTGTTCCAACAAATGTTGAATATCAGTAGGAATACTAGTAGAATTGCCTTCCATATTCAATAATATAACATGACCCAAAATATATGAATCCCATGCAGACATTTTAAGTAGTGTAGCCCCAGAAATCTGTAGTTGTTCATTAGAGGGCTGTTGACCTTGAACACAAATTTGATCTCCTTGGTGGTCAAAGCTTAAGGTCATGTTGTTGAAGTCCATTGATATTGGACTGAATAACTTCATCCAATCAACTCCCATGACCATGTCACTTCCTCCCAATTTGAGCAGCCTAAAATCATGTGAAAAAGTATGGCCCTGCATTTGCCATTCTACCTTGTTGCACCTAGCAGAACTGAATAATTTTTTGCCATTAGCCACAGTGATAGCCAGAGGATTAGGGGTAGTAATCTGTATACCAGTATTAGCCCATTTAGGGGTCAAAAAACTATGTGTGTTGCCACTGTCAATTAATATATTCAAGGGTTTTCCCTTAATAGTACCCTGAATTCTCAAAGTATTATGTCCAATACAACCAGTTATGGCATTCATAGAAATTTCTAGGTTTTCCTCTTCTGGCTGCTGTAGTTGTTCTGTATCAATGGGACTATCTTCCAAAGGAGAAGTTTCAATTTCTTCAGTCATCATATTTAACTGCCTGTTTTTACACTGATGTCCTGGTAAATATTTGTCACCACATTTGAAACAAATGTTATTTTGTCTTCTATAATCAATAAGATTCTGTTTCAGATTTGGTGATGATGTGGGCTTTATAGGCACTGGCAGAGCAGGTGTTTTATGCATAGATATGGGGTTTGGGTACGGTGGGCTTTTAAAAGAAGGCTTTAATCTTTTATTTTCAAACTCCACAGAAAGTTCATAAAGCTTGGCCTGTTTACATGCTTCAAACAAATTTTTAGGATCTAAAGCCTTGACCCTATGCTTAATATCATCTCTTAGACCACTAATAAAAAGTGATACAAAGAACTCTTCAGTTAAAGTAGGATTCTGCAACAACATATAGGGCTGTAACTCCTCAATTTTTTCCTGATAATCTTCCACTGACCCTTTTTGAGTCAATTTAATGAACTCTTCCACAATATCACAAAAAGATCTATCACTGAATCTATGACAGATATCAGCTTCAAATTCATGCCATGTTACATGGTGCTTTTGCATTATATATCCATCAAACCATATTTCTGCTTTGCCTGTCAAATACATAGTAGCTACCTCTACTCTTTGCTTAACAGGAACACTATAGATAGAAAAATATTTCAAGCAATTTTATATCCATCCTCTAGGATTAACCCCATCAAAAAATGGTAGTTCTATCTTAGGTCTGTGCCACATAGTTCCTGAACTATTAAATGAACCCCTGGCCCCCTTTTTTCAGCTTCCAGTCCAAACAAATTAGGCCTAGAATCACTGTTTTCACCCACCTAATTTTCAGGCCTAGAACTGTTCTTAAGAGCTAAATAAGCATCAGGTTTAGTCTTTAATATCCCAGGTTCATCCGGTTTGTAAGTAAATCTAGACTTGTCATTCACCACAGTCACCAAAACAAAATTCTTTTCTTTATTTTGAGAAGTATCAGGAGATTGTACCTGCTCACCCACAGACTGCTCTTGGTCTCCAGTTCTGCCTATCAGTATCCTCAATTTATCTTCCACATAGTTGTGATTTATGGTCATCCTAGCCTCCAGTGTTGTAATCATTGTTTTCTGAGTCTCTCACCATTTAGGTGGATTAGTTTCATTCTGACCTTGTTTCACCAAAGCAGCAAGGTCTTCAATTTGTTTCTGAATCCCAGCTAAATCTGTTTCTGCCATAGATTGATTCTTCTTTGTCATGCCCTCTAAAAAAAATTTTTTTTGCCAGAATCTTAGCTCTTATTACCAATTGTTATAGATTGGGAGAAAAATAAGGATTTAAGAGAAGAATTTAGATAAAAGAGAGAGTTGATAGAGAAGAAAATTCATCAATTATTTCATAAGGATTGTTTACACTCTGGTTTGTTAATTATTTAGTTACAATGCCAATACTTCCTTGCCAGCTATCCAGACTATATAACTAAATGATTCCTCTCTTTCTTTTCTTTCTCAGGTATTGGGCCTTCGATATTGGGTTGCTCCTTCAGACTTCCTTGCTGCTCGCCTTGCTGCTTGCCCAGCTCTTCTGATAATGTAAGTAACCCCGTGCCTCTCACATGATTGAATTCCCAATTGTTGTCTTCAATCCCTAACCCTCGGTCTTCATTTTCCAAATTTCCTTCGATATTTCCTCTTCGTTCCACTTCTTCTTCTCCAATCCTGACACATATGTGCACAACCTCTATGTACTCACATATATTTAGTTCTCACATGTGTACATGGGCTAATAAAGAGATAACAATAAATACACTATATGTGATGTATATGCTTTTGTGATATGAAATGTGTTACATGAATTATATGATGATGTGTGTATTGTTTGGTTAAGAATGTTAGGTACAATAGCATATGACTAAGAGATATGAATGATAATAATATATGATAATTCTAAGAATGTAAATGATGATATATGTGTATGTATTTGTTACATGAAAGGGTATATTAGTTTGTATGATATGATAGTATAAATTATTCATACATTGTTAGGAGTTAGAGTTACATTATAAGTTTTATATGTCTCACTAAGTCATAGACTTAACGTGTGAATGTTTCACACGTAGGTTTCGAGAAGATTAAGGAGCAAAGAGGAGCAAGACAGGTTAGCCTCTCATTCTCGAAGATCAGATCTGAAAAGAGTTTTGAATCATATGTATTATGTTATATTAAATGTAGTTGGCATGTACTAAGAGATTTAAATTGAATATGCTCTTATATATTTTGTAAAACCAATTGTTTTTAATTAATGTAAATTATTCAGCTTTGATTTAAATGTGAATTTGAAATTCTTTATTTACATTGTAAAAGAAAAACGTTTTGAAAAGTTAATGTTACATCTCAGATTTGTATCCGGGTCGGGTACGGGTATGGGGGTGTTACAGAATGAGATTACCTTTAACAGTCCAGTTGAGGATTCTCGTCCTATTTTGCTTAAAAGCCGGCAGCTTGTTGAGCTCACTTGTCGAGCGTTGGAAATGAATCCGATTCACCAAGGTCCATTAACTTGTCCAAATGTTGGGCCACGGTTGTGGAGTTATCCACTGGTTGGTTGGTTGAAAATAAATTCAGATGGGACTAGAAACCCTGAGTCTGGTCTATCTTCATGCGGAGGTGTGCTGCGAAATCATTTGGGGGAGGGCAGCTGGGGTTTACAAAGTTCATTGGACTCTACTCGGTGATTGAAGCTGAAATTTGGGGTGTTTATACCGAGCTGTTATGTGCCTAGGAAAGGGGAAGATTCCAAGTAATAGTTGAAGTGGACAGCATGGAGCTTCTCGGGATGTTGCAACATTTGCAGAATGGACGATATAGAATTACTCTTCTTCACCATGTTGTTGATTTATTGCGAAGGAATTGAGTGGTGCGATTTCAACATGTTCAACGGGATGGAAATCGATCGGCCGATGCTATGGCGAAACTAGCAGACAGGAATTCTTATGAGTGCCTTCAGTTTCTGGTTGCTCTGGTGGACGTGATAGCGCTCTTACAGGAGGATTTCTCCGGCACAATGGATGCTTAATGATTTTGTTTCAGTCTTTGTTTACCAAAAAATTATATTTTTATAGGAATTTATTTTTATTGTAACAATAATGATTATATTTGTAATAATATTTTTTAATATATTGAAGCTGAAAATAGAAATGCATAGATTAGATGTAAATCACATTTCAACTCATCAACTATAATATTGTTTATCAATATTGTAACTTTTTTTCTTATTATAATATGGTAAATTGCATCTAAATTTATAACTCTAAATTTTCTCAAATTTATAACAAGTTTATTTATGGTAATAAAAAATTTAACTTCCCTAAATATATAACAAGTTAATTTAAGTTTATACCAAGTCAATTAATCTATCAATCGAATTCTTGACGAGTTAATCAACCGTACATCTAATAGTATAGATAGTATTGATATTAGAATATGTATTTGTCCTTCAAAAAAAAAAGAAATATGTATTTGAAAAGGGGAAACGCTGGATGATCATCATTTAGTAGCCTACCAATTGTAAAGCTTATTAAACATTTTCCTATCACAGCTGCGATAAAATCCATCATCACGAACCGCCCAATACACCGTCTTATTAGGGTGTTTGCAGATTTCACTGTCGGCGTTGGGCACACCATGCACAAATATATTGAATGTCCTCACCCTGTTACCATGTCTAAACGTACAAAAGAAGAGGGTTGTTTCCCAGAAATTGATCTTGAAATGGAACTGGTAATCGTCTCTTTGCCAGATCGGGTGCGCTTGTAAATCGTCGTCCTTTGACTGTACGTGAACGATGAGCGGTTGTTTCGTGTCGGACAACATGTTCAACAGATGAACATGAAATTTCCAGTTCCAGTAGATGCTTAATCCGGGTTGAGCCATGCTGCAGATAACAAGCACCCAAATCAGAGCCATGAAACCTCTTTTTTGGACTTTGGATTCCATGTTTGGGTTATTTAGGGTTTATAGTTTTGATGGGGTTCTTACTGTTGGAACTATTAACGCATGGAATTTATATAACTTTGAGAAACCCTAAAAATAGAAGGTTAAAAATACATGGGAATCGGACAAACATCGTTTCTTGGTTTGGAGTGCATTAAATTTTAACAGTTTTTTCTCGAACAATAACGCATTTTCCATCAAGTTGGGAAGTTTGTTTGTGTACGTTGTTTGTTTCAAATTTGCTATTATCAATCTTGTAGTATACATATTTGGGAAAAATACGTATTTAGTTATTCAATTATCGCTTTAGTTTTATTTTGTTCATCCAATTTTTTTTTTTTTTGAAATCATCATTATCAAAACATTATAGTTTCATTTTGATCACATGCCATTAAAAGAAATAATAGAACTATTGACATGGTATTTCTCTTAATTTTTTTTTCAATGACAACATAGAATTATCTTATGGCGTCGTTAAATTTGTAACTACAATCTCTTCATATTTGTCGAAAATAAGTCAAAGTCATTGGCAATGAAGAAGGTCTGAAAGATTAAAAACAATCAGCGTAATGTAATTCCTCCCAGAATTATTTTTCACCAGAATCGCAATATTGCTATTTTTTGAGAAGACAACGTGAATGACTGAGATTTATGGCAACTAATTTGACAACACGTTCATCGTTCTTCAAGCCAGCTCTTTTAAGTCGTTTCACGTAGGAAAGCCATCATCTTCCTTTCTAGCTGGCTCTTCAACTGCCTCTATCTCCATTGAAAGTGATTTCAAGTTTTCATAAATTACCTTTGAAGGACACCGTCGGGGATCCATAAATATTTTTTAAGGTGGACATACATGTATTAATAACAAAAAAAATTTGTATTGAGTCAGGCCTGTTTTGAGATTTTTTGTGACCCTTGGGTGAACCAAAAAAATTAGGCCCCTAATTAGGGATTTAAGTTACAATTTACAATTGTGTCTTCGGTCACGTTGCGTTTATCACTATTGCAAACATAACACATGATATTGTGGATTTTTAATAAGATATACTAGTGTGGACATAACGATTGTGGATATTGCGGTTTCGGACAATATTGTTATCGTTGAATAACGATCATCGTTGTTGTTACATACCGTTATTTAAGTAATTGTTCTTAATAACAAGTGTTGAAAAAAATAAATTTTAAGGGAAACTCAATAATAACAAGTTTTACAAAATAGATTCCTAATAACAAATTTAAGGGTATACTCATAATTAAAAAATACTAAAATAATCGGACCTCTAATAAAAAGTATTGAAAAATAGGACTCGTAATAACAAATAAATATTATAAAATAAATTAAATTTTAAAAGTAAATCCCTAATAACAAATATTGAAAAAATTGAGCCTCCAATAATAATTACTGAAAATAGTTTGGCCTTTAATAACAACTGTTAGAAAAAAAATATATTGACAAAAAATTGGACACTTATACAATATTAGAAAAAATAAATGATATGAGTTGGCCCCTAATAATAAATATTAGAAGAAAATTGAGTTCATAATAATAAATGTTGAAGAAAACTAAATCCTTAATAACAAGTATTAAAAATAGTTGGGTCCTATAATTAATATAAAATCATTTTTTACAAGTATAATATA